TGAGTTAAACCCAAACCAAATGCTTAGGTTCCACAGAGAGACTGCAAATTCCTGTGTGGGTCACTAAAACTGGGGGGAGTATAATGTGACTAAAATAGCAGAGGACGTGAAAGGGGTCACACTGGGATAGCTGGTGCCCCATAAGGGTGAGCACCATGTAGAGGGTTATCCTGAGGTTATCAAGACTCTCTACCTTGAGGTGGCATCTGAAGGGTAGTCCAAGTGACTAGCCATCCGTTTCTTTTCATTTACTTTTTTTATTCCACCAATAAGGTTGAATCATGCGCTAGGTGACCCCAAGATCAGCAGATGCTGGCATCATCCAGCTGTCTTGGTATAGTGAACTGGGAGGCTTTTGACAAGAGATGTTAGGAGGATATCCCTCCAGRGTAAGGACATAGTACTGTCTAAGACATATCCTGTCAAGCTGAGCCACAGCACAGGCTACCAGCTCTCCAGGTCACTTAGGGTTCTTTTGGTGGTGACCCTGTTGTCCTTGGCTCCCAGCCAGCATTCCTCCCTGCATTGTCCCCCTCCCAGCCCGGCCTGCTGTATCTCAGCCAGGCACCAAGTTGAGGTCTCTGTTAGAGCAGGCTGTGGGCACTTGCTTTCTTATATTGCCTTTTCCAGTACCTCACACCAAACATGCCCAGCCTTGTGACATTTGTTAGGTAGGGCCCAGGGATACTTGCCCAGGGAAGCTGTTCTCAGTCTAAGAACAGTGTAGACCCAGGGTAGGCTGGGCACAGATGAATGGCTGTACGTTCCTCATGACTAAAACACTCAGGGTCACTCCAGGGGGACTGGGCTGCATGCAATAACCATACAAGAGACAGAGATACCTTTTTGGGGGGTTCTTGTGATGGCTCCTCTGACTCTAAGGGTCCGCAGAAAGAGAGCGAGAGAGTGCTGAGCCATTTTTATTGAGGAGAAGGCATTCAAATGAGGCAAGGGGTCAGGTTTCAGGGGTGGAGTCTAGCTTCCTGATGTCAGCTGTCAGCTGGTTGACTGACATCAAGGAAGGTCATACCCAAAGGAGAGCAAGAGAAGGGGACACACAAAGAGCATTTCCGTGGAACATTCTATCCCAAACAGGGCAAAGGCGTAATATTACAAAGGAACAGGTGAGCGTAGCTCAATCCATGGGGTGACAGGCCTATGTCTGAAGACACATTCTGCTACTTTGAGGATGGGGGCAATATCCAGGTCACTATGAAAGTGACTGACAGAGCCTCTCCAAGTATGCGAATTCATTCAGACTGGCTGCCCACACTTCCCTCATCTGGGCTTCCTGAGGGGAAGGTTGAGTGTGCAGTCACCTGAGAGGGCCACCTGAATCACCAGTCATTCTGTAATTCCTTGGTAGAAACAGCTTTATCTAAATACACAGAGAAGTAACATGATTTAAAAAAAAAAAAATTATTTTCTTGCTTACCCAAGGGCTGACTGTTTTCTGTCAGTTTGAGTTCCTGCGTTTTCCTGGCACTGGCTGTGTTGATGACAGCTCTGATGAGTGCTGGGAGCAGAGGCCACCAGTCAGGGCAGAGTGGACAGGTGGAGAAGCTGCTGAGGTGCATGACTATCTTGGTTGCCCGCCCCAGGCAGCATGTGGTTGCCACACACTGCACATTCCCCAGGGCGATGCACCATAGCCTGATGTTTATCACCCTCCCATGTGGACTTTCCTGTGGGCTTATATTCAAGCTGAGGCTTTTGACAAACTCAAGCATGACACCCTTTTGTTATAAGGTCTCCCTGCTGTCTTCTGTCACTAACTGATTAAGGCTATATAGCAGTATTAAGCTTTTATGATGACTGAAGCACCCAAGGTATCCCATCTGTGCTCCTAGAAAAGGGAACAAAATGCCTAAAGGAGGTCAGTGTCCTGGCTGGGCTCAACAGGCTGTGAAAGTGGATCCAGTGCTATTAGGGGAAGGGCTCTATTATTTTAAACCAGCCTGCTTCCTAACAGGAAGTAGGATCCGAGATGCTGCATTAAGGTATTTCACGTATCCTACAATCAGCCAGAACCTAGCACAGGGTGGCAGAGCTGGGATGATATAGTGAACTCCATGCTTTCTGTCATCTGTCCTTAATATTTTAAAATATATTCATTTTACATTTAAGCCACAGTATAAATGAACTGTGCAATTAATCTTTAATTGGAGCTACAAAATATGAACACTTTGGTCTTTTAATGGGAAAAGCAATACCCTTGCCCAGGGCCTCCACTTAGAACCTCAAGACAGACACTGTCTGAACAAGGGTGCCTTTGAGTCCTGCGCGGGTAGACATCTGATAGAAAACCCAGTGGTGGTGTGTCACCTAGGAGTCTGAGGGAGGAAACTATCAAGATCTCATAGGTGAAGCTTCCTAGGAGACAAAGTGGGATGCAGACAGGATTAACTGGGGCTTGTCCTAGACCTTAGAAATACTTAAGAATCACTTTAAATCGTTTTAGAATTCCTTGCTGAGTAAACTTCTATTCAAATGGAGAACAGTTTATTGTTTCAAAGGTACTAAGTTATAGCCTGATATCCTTCCATCTTCCCAAACTATACCTTTCAAAATATGCCCTCAAAACTAAGCAGATCTGTTTATTATTGATGGTTAGATTTTGCTTGTGCTCACAGATGAGGGAGGTCTGTCAAAGGCTTTAACTTGCAGACTGCTGCTGGTCTATGTTCCAGCTTTGTTATGATTGTAGAAAGTATTCCTTACTGACTTTAAAATTCACAACCAACTTATGAGTTAAAGATGAGGCCATTTTACAGGTGAGGAACGGGGTCAAGAAACTTTTCTTAGATCACCCAGCTCATAGAAGACGGACTGTAGATTCAGACCTTATCTTACTTCAAAGTCAGAGCTCTTAACAGCTGACCCACTCTTAACTTGGCAAGCCTCTGCTGTGACCCATCATAACGCTGTTCTGGTCCCATGCTGACAGGCTTGCACTCTAGGAACTCCCCTGGTGCATGCTTGTAAGGCAGCCTCTGATTTGACTGCCGACACCCACTCCTAGACTGCTGGTTCTGGACTTTCCATAATCCAGAGGATGATCAGTTCACATTGTCTGCCCTGGCCTTGGGAAACTGGCTTCCTTTCATCTCTAACAACCCCTCTCTATGATGTCCCATGCTGCTCTTCTGGTACTCTGTACTTCCCTGACTATAGCCACTGCCTCCCTGGCTCCAGTGTCCAGACCTGTGGAGAAAGCAGTCCAGGGCTGCAGAATCAGAAAGACTTCCTTGTGAACCACCCAGTGAGCACCTTTGGTCCACCTCTCCTAGAAAATCCCATGAGGTCCTCTGAGTTGAACAGCAAGATGAGGTGGGGACATTCAGACTCAAAACCACTGTAGTATTAAACTGCCCAGCTGGGCAAGACGACTTCATCCAAGGATGAAGACAGCTATGAAAATTGTGATCTGTGGCTTGAAACACTGTCCCCAGTCTTCCTTCAAACCTCTACTGCACCTGTAATCCCAGATCCTCACGAGACTGAGGCAGGAGGCTTGCAAGTTTGAGACCAGTCTAGGCAACCTAGTGAGAACTTGATTCAAAATAAAAAGGGCTGGGGTTGAGCTCAGTGGTAGAGCACTGCCTAGTACCCACAAGGTCCCAGGCTCAGTCTCCAGTACTGCAAAGACAACAAAAAAGTCCATACTGCCACAGATCCACTCACGTTCTCTGGGTGAGAAAGTTTCCAAATGACCTAAAAGCTTTGGCATTATGAACCCAGAGAATTTCAGTTAAGGTAGGAAAAGAAAGAGAACTGCAATCTAAGATTTCAATTTACAAAGGTAAAATTGATGTTCCAAGGTCTATGAAAACTAGGACTTTTTGGTTGATTTAGCAATCTTGTGTCATTTTGCAGAGAAGAGTTTTTTTCCTGCCCCACATGATGCAAACAAACAAAAAGGCCTTTAAATAATACTTCAGACCGAAAGTGTTGGGTAAGATTTGGAACCCTTGTTATAAGAGCCTCTGCTAATGAGTGGTGGCCAGTGCCACCACTGAGGGTGAGGGTGAGGCAAGCCAGGCATCCACAAGCACATTTAGAGTAAAAATCTGTACCTTAGTTGCCTCTCCCTAGTCCTAGCTCTGATGAGAACAGGCAGGAAAGGCAGCCTTAAATTGCTACATCCAGTTGTTCAGTGAGCAGTAAAACTGGGAGGAATAGCAAGGTGGATGCTTACTGTGACATGGTGATGGGGTGGTCAATAAAATGGAGGCATAATTTTAGTGTCTACTCAAGGCTAAAAGCATCCAGACAGAAAATTCTTAAGAGGTTTACAATCAAAATCTCTGCTCCGGGCATGCAATTGATTATTGGTAAATACTAACAAACAGATTCCTTGTGGGCTTGTTGGAAGCAGTGACAATCAGGTTATGATCCGGTTTCCTTCAAGGCTCCTGACCCCTGTGTTTAACCAAGGTTGGGATTTGATGATTCTGTGTGAATTCTGTTAGGCCAAGGTTGGCAAACTCTTTTCTGCAAAAAGCCAGATTATAAATATTTTGGGGTTTGTAGGCCATGTGGCCTATAGGAACTACTTAACTCTGCTGTTCCAGCACCAAAGCAGTTACAGGCAGCCCAGAAATGAATGGACGTGTCAATGTTCCATGAAACTTTATTTATAATGCCACATTTGGCTTGAGGGCTTTAGTTTTCCATGTCTGCACTGGAACAAAAGGAAATGTTCACTGTAGTAGTCTTGTGCAAAGACACAGTAACAGACAAGTTAATTTGCTTTTCTAGAAGAAAGTATTAATGAGTCCATGTTCCAACATGTACAAAAGTGGCTGACAATAGTGCTGATAAATTGATACTTCCTGCTCAGGTCAGATGAGTTGCATAAAACCGTCCCTAACACTTTCTATTGAAGAATGGGTGCCATAGCCCAAAGCCAGCAAATCAAGTAACTGTTTCTGCAGATCTGAACCTACTGTAGGTTGGAGCACCAGGGGGCTTAACCTGTTTTCTCTTCTCTCCTGCAGGCCTATTCCTTATCCTCGGTTTGATACTCTACCCTGCTGGCTGGGGTTGCCAGAAAGCCATAGACTACTGTGGACATTATGCATCTGCCTACAGACCTGGAGACTGCTCCTTGGGCTGGGCCTTTTACACCGCCATTGGTGGCACAGTCCTCACCTTCATCTGTGCTGTCTTCTCCGCACAAGCAGAAATTGCAACTTCCAGTGACAAAGTACAAGAAGAAATTGAAGAGGGGAAGAACCTTATCTGCCTCCTTTAGTTTGGAAGAGACATTAATGCCATTTTCTTTCTTGTGTAATGTTGTGAAACAGTCCTCATCCTTTGAATCATGTGGAGAACTAGCCTGTACCTATCAAAGCCACATTCCACAGCCCCAGGCTTTAGCAGGACCAATGACGGGCAAAGTTACTGAACAGGAGGGCTGCAGTGCAAATGACAAGGGATGGAACGTGAAAATAGTCTGAGACCCTGACTGTAGTCAAGGAGTCCTGTCAGACTCCACCTCCCCCAGGGCTCCATGAAGGATAATGATTTGAATCATAAAGGCATCTGAATTTCTGATAAAATGGGAGACTGTTAGCCAGCTTTGCAGGCTGTTTTGAGGCACATTTGTGCCTCAAAGCTGCACACCTGTGAGCATCTGCCTCCACATGCAGTCTAGGGTTGGTGTTTTGGTTTTCTGTGTAGTTCTTTTCAAGGTGTCTCAATTGAAGACTAAAAGGAAGTCTGCAAATTTACTGGGGATAGAATGTGTGCTAAAGGACACAGCAAGACACTGTCTCTTGCTTAGCTGACCAAAAGGAATCAGCAGGGACAGTGTGGAAACTTGCAGTAGAACTTAATTTTAGGCTAAATTCAGGGTAAGGTGGATAAAAAGAACTGTCACTCTCTAAGATTTTAGAAACTTTTGAATAAAGAAAAATTAAGGACCAGTACAATCGTGAGACTAAAACTACAGAACCTTGCCAGTTGAAGACAAATTCTTTCCTCTTCTCAGCAGACAGGCTAGGGCCCAGGCTGGTCCACTCTCCTCTCCCCGCCCCCCATCACAGTTTTCTCCCAGGATTAGGATTGTGCTTTGACTGCCAAAGGAAAACTTAACTCTGTTTCCACCTTCGGAGGACCGTGATCTCCAAACTAGCTGTGGCTCATTTAGATGTTCACTGGGAGGGACCACAAGAATCTCAGCATTTCAAGGAGACATTTTCTGTTTGGTGACCCTTAAAGTTAGCAGCAGAATGGCATTTTTGGCAGAAAAAAGGGAGGTAGTCACAAGAGTTAAGTTTCTGTAGCCACTGGTGTTGATCCTGAAAGCAGATTGAAATAACATTAAATTGCTGCAACCAAAGAGCTGCATCAAAGACTTTGTCCCCAGAAAAACAGAGTAGAAAGTTAATGCAAAAAACACAAACCAAACTAAACTCATCACACCTGCCCACACTTGTTTACAAGAACAATCAAGCACCACTATTAAAAAGGATTCAGGCTTTTCATCTAGTTTCCTTAAATTTCTAATACATTGATTCAGGAAGATTGTAATCGGAATGACCCAAGTAGCCAGAAATGACATGGGAACACTCCTTAGCACCTGAAGGAAGTGGGGTGGACCTGCCAGATTTGAGGAAAGATTGAAAGTGTAGGTCTCTGTGGGTTTCTTAATCTGCTTGCTTGAGGGTGGTTTTGAAATTTTAATAGTCACTAGGCCCCTTTTACTGGCAAGTTATTGTGTGGTACATCAGGTATACAACCCTGACTTAGATTTTTACAGCCTTGCCCTGGTGAATCATGTTAAAGCCTGGTGAATCATGAGTCTGGAACTAAGCCTTGTACAGAATAAATAAGTACTTTATTTATATACAGAATAGGACAACTAAAGTTTTATTACATTTTGTCCTTTGGCCTACACTAGAAACCAACTTATCTAACAGATGAAAGTCTAAGGATCAGAGGAGTGAGGAATATGGAACCAGGTCTTAATTTATGATTTTTAAACCAAAGTTCAAAGTAAGCAAGGTTTAAATCCTATCTTTTTCCCCCCTCAGAGAAGTGTAAACAGAAATCTTCCTAGCAACCTCAGTAAAGGCTCAGGAAACATTAACCATCTCTCCAGCCACATGAAAACAGTCTATGGAAGCCACTGGAGAAGGTGCCTGTCCCTGATTGAATTTACAGTGTTCTCACTAAGGCCCTCTGCTAGCATGTGGGCAATACTTATCATTAAAAGCAATTTCCATCATCAGGCAAATTTTGATAAAAATAATTTTTTTCTTATCATTTTTCTTTACAACAGAGAGAATTTTCTAACACTATTTTTTTTTAAAATCTCAGTCTCCTGCTTTAAAAATCCTAACCCCAGAAGACCCCCTGAACATGTCTATCACATGCTCTTTGACTAAGTGGCAGTGTACCCTTCAATCAACCTGGTAATATTCATAAGTGAAAATGTGATCTCTCATAAAGTCACTTGACAGTGTTTATTTGGTTAATTTGAATGTTATAAAAGACCAAAAATGGCACATGCACAAACAAAACCCTAAGCTACTAAAAACTACCTGAACACTAACTTCCTACAGCAGAGCAGAGGCTGAATTTTCTACCAGAGACAGAGATAGTGGGTCTTCTAAATCTTTAATCCATTAGACTGACTTTGGGATGAAAGGACCATCTAAAAATCAGGCTTTCTATATCAAAACTCTTCTGCATGGCTCTTTTAAAAAACCACTTGTTGACCCACTCACGTTTTTCTAATAAGTAGGACCATTACTACTAAAAGGAAAGTATAATTTATTTTGCCTGCATTTGTGCTTAAAAGTTCTATCGTGGGCTGGGCTTCTCAATGAACTCTAAGGCAGAAGTATTTGCCTTGGGGTTTGTGGATTCTTTAAACCTGTGTGCTAATTCAACAATGTTACATTAATTGTGTAAGGGTTTTTGTATAGTTTTCAAACATCTGTGGTGTAATGATCTTTGTTAAACATGTATTCTGTAAAGTGCCATAGTCTTTTTTATGTGTAGCATATTTAAAAAGTATATATATATATATATATATATTTTATACATACACAAGTTTGTGTGAAAGATGTGCAATAACAAAGGTGTATGTATGTTTTGTTTTTTTGGAAACTGGACAGGAGTCAAAACAGGGATGTTTCTGTTTTGGCAAAGGAGAGTTACACATTTTTGCCTTCATGGCCAAGTCATTAACCCCTAACAATTTTAATGCTACACGAATCTTATGTGAAGAAAAGACTGGCATGAAATCATTTTCTCCTGGGTCTAAATTAAAATAATCACTATATTTATATGAAAGTGAAGCCAGCAAGCCAGGCCCAGTTAGTGCTAGTCTTTCATGTGAAATGTGAAGCTGCCATATTGCCTTTCCTGTTAGTGTGATAACTAGTAGCTGGTACATAATCACTAAGGAGCTATTTCTTAATGTGCTTTTATAGACCATGTTAATGCTAGACCACTATTTAAGGGCTAATCTCACACCTTCTTAGCCATAAGAGTCTGGCTTAGAACAGACCTCTCTGTGCAATAACACGTGGCCACTGGGAATCCCTGGCCTACATCTGTGTGTGGGTAGCAATGACTCCCAAGGGCCAAAAGAGTTAAAGGGATGACTGGGATTTCTTCTGAGACTGTGGTGAAACTCCTTCCAAGGCTGAGGGGGTCCTTAGGTGCTTTGGAGGAACTTGGCACCACTTGATATTCAATAGCCACTTGAGCCAAATATAAAATTGTATTTACAGCTGATGGACTCAATTTGAGCCTTCAAATTTGTGGTTATCCTACTATATTGTAAAGTAATACTTTGTTTGTCTAGCATTGATTAGGTTCCTGTGCATATGTATTTTCACAATGTGCTCCCCTGCCCTCCTCAGAATTGAAATTAAAACAAGATTTTGCAAACTCATTCTTTCAAGTCTAAGTATATTGGCTTCAATATGATGTGTGTAATTTAATCAAAATCTATTTTAAACACTAACATAATATTTCTGATAGAAAAAAGACATTCAAGTATTTTCAGTTATTCTGTTACTAATATCCCTACCACAGGTTGTCTTTAACTTCAAGATAAGTATATGTTTCTTCCCTAGAGAAGCATCAATATAATTTTAAATAGGAAAAAAAACTCTCATGTACTACACAAACACCTTAAAGTAAAGCTATGAGAAAAATGCTTCTAAATATTTCTTTACATTTGTGACAAAAAGTTAATGGAAGCCACATTCTCCTCTTTCAACAAAAGTACCAACCATATGGAGTCATCCCAAATCCACGCTTCCTGAACATAATCCTGCCTAAGAGGCCTCACCCGGAATAGTTTGATTTCTAATTTATAAATTTAATGATACTAAATACTTTTTTCATAAACATATTCAATTATCCATATACCAAGAAGCACTTACTATTTGATAAACAAAAATGGCTATTTCTTTCCCTGGCCTAGGGCTTGTGACAGCTGAAAGTACATTTATGCTTCGGTTTCTAAACATACATGTCAGGTGCCAGGTTTCTAATAGAGATCATAATTAGAAGCTGGCAAAGTCATCCTCCTTAGTAAGTTTTCCAAGCAAATCATGATCTGAATAACCCAAGCAAAACTGGGAGGGTTTTTTTTTGATGCTTTCTCAAAAGTTAATCCTCAAACAGAAAAGACCCTGACTTATATTTCAGCAGAGGCTGAGGAATCCTCCCATGTGCTTTCTTTCCATCCTTAGTTTTTACCCAGCAGTTTCGCCACTCAAACAAATTTCTATGACTAATCTTGGAACACACATTCTACTTATTCTTAGATGATCCCCTTAACTTCTTTGCCTAACAAAAACCAGTATCTGCCTAACAGAACAGTATTACCCTAGACAGTTCTTTTATGCAGACCTTACTTAAGCAATTTCAAATAAATCAATACCTTTTCAACTCAAACACTAAAGGATAAGGGCAGACTACTCTTCAAATCAGTAAAACCCAATAATTGTCCTAATTTCTGAGGCCCATTGCAGCCGCTTAGTCATTGCTGAGGCCCTCCCACCGATGCCCCTGCTATCTCCTTCCTTGCAGCTTCCTTTCCTTACCCTGAGGAGTTCTGCAAAATAAGTCTTCAAGATGTGAGCTGCTGCTAATTTTGCTTAGGTTCACAGGATACAGATAGAGACACAAATAGAGGAAGTAGAAAAAACAAAACCATATGGGAAAGAGAAGTCAATCAAATAACATGTAGCTATTAGCAACTCCTTGGCTTTTTATAGCCAACATCCTGAAAAACCTAACACCTACAGGTGAGTAGTCCCTGAAGTGCCCATGTTTGGGAAAACACCTATAATGTATTTACAGGGGAAGCAAGCCCATTAGGGCAGTGACAAGCAAAGCATGAACTAGAGATGTTAGAGCTTAAGAATGGACAGCCTAGGGACTGATCAGAAGCAATGGGGAGGGAGGAGGAAGTCCAGGATGACCATCAGGTGTTTCGAGTAAGCTTTAGGTGGAAAGTGGCACAGTTGCTGGGATGAAGGATCCAGAAGGAGCCGGGAGAGTGGAGCAGTGGGAGGTTCCCTGCAGGCTGCCCCTGGTGTGTGAGTGCGGGACAGACTGAAGAGAAGACCCACTCAGGGACAGGGATTTGGGATTCATCATCCCCATGGAGAAATGATAGTGTGTTTTGGTTATTATGCACTTTCTGTCTGCAAATGTTATGGTAATCACTTGGTAATAATTCATTTATTCATCAAACCCTAAAAGGTAGAAAAATCCTTATTTTACAGATAAGTAACTGTCACATAACTGACATTAGTTAAGTCACTTTCCCTAAATCAGAAAACTAGTAAGTAGCAAAGCCAAAGCTCAAACACAGGTTTAATATCAGGCTGCCAAGTTACATTTCTTCTACCCAGAATGAGCAAGACAAACTGCCAATACACACTCTGTGGGAAAACCAATACCTCAGTGTGGCAAACAGACTAACTGTCCTTACCCTCAGAGCATAACCTTGTAAGTTCTCATACTTTTGAAGATAACACCATAGGTTTCAATTCATCAGTGATGATTCAGCTCAATCCTGACAACAGACACTAAAAGTAATCAACTACATGACTGGCAAACTTTTAAGTGATAGGCTTTCACAGTTTATATTATTATTTTTTTTTTAGTATAAATAATCTCTCATCCAGGACTAGTACCTATATGATCACATAAGAACACATTTAACCTAATAATTAAGGATTTTTTTTAATCAAAGTTTCTCCAAACACAAAAAACATCAGAGGCCATTTAGTACACAAACACTAGAAGAGCAGGAACCAGGGAATCGCCTGCAGGCTAGAGGGCTAGCCTTTGGTCTGGAAACTTGCAACAACATGCTATAATTTTTTCCCTAAAGAATGGGCACAGAGCCAGGTATGGTAATGCACACCTATAATCCCAGCAGCTCAGGAGGCTGAGGCAGGAGGATAGTGAGTTCAAAGCTAGCTTCATCAAAAAGTGAGGCATTAAGCAACTCAGCGAGACCCTGTCTCTAAATAAAATACAATAGGGCTGGGGATGTGGCTCAGTGGTTAAGAGCCCCTGAGTTCAATCCCTAGTACTCCCCCAGCCACCAAAAAAAAAAGAAAAAGAATGGGCATGGATTACTAGAAATGTGGGAAGATAGGAGGGAACACAAAGAACTGGAGAAAAGTGGTGCTGAGGAGCAGAAGCAGCCCCCATTTGGAAGGAGTCAGAGGGCCTAGGTGTTTCAGCTGCTGTTAACCTGGCCCTTCACCATAGTCACTCATTGAGTGACCTTGAAGTAATCTCCTAGTTCTCTGAGAAAACGGCCAATAATGGAAGTCACATCATAGATTTGGTGAGACTGTAATATATGCAAAGCATTTCGTGTAGTCTCTAATATATTGTAAGTCATCATTATTAGAAGAAAACTCGAAGAACCTTTTATCTGCCCAGACTAATATCATTTAGAGTTGCTTTAAGAAATTACATTTTGTGAAGGGTAACATAACTTGTTGCCAAAATCAATCTAAATTTACCTAGAGAGACTCAGTGGATTGGCTACCTGAGGCCACCATTTCTTTTTCCAGGATCCTGCAGGATCTGCTACTGGGGGTACAGGGCAAGCAATGCAGTTTTCTGTTCTGTTATAGTAAAGCACTCAATTAATTATCTTTACCTTTGAGCTTTCACCAAGTAGACATCTTTGTGAATGCAGGATACACAGAACCCAAACAAACAGGTAGCACTGGCTGAAACCACAGCATGGGAAATCAGAATGCTCAGAAAACAGACTTCCTGATTATTGGTCAAAACTTACTGGCCTGGTTGGGGTTGTAGCTCAGAGGTAGAGGGCTTGCCTGGCACGTGTAAGGCACCAGATCCAATGCACAGCACCACATTAAAAAATAAATAAATAAAATAAATGCATTGTGTCCATCTACAATTAAAAAAATTTTTAAAAAACTTAGTGGTATAAGAGACTTTTTGGAAGAGTAACATCCAATATCGGCTAGGTTGTAGAGAAAGAGGCCCTTTTGTGCAGAGCTGATGGAGGCAGAGCTGGATACAATTTTTCTAGAGAGCAATTTGACAATGCCCATCACAGGTGTTCAGAAAACACATAGTTGACACTGTGATCTTTGCTAAGAACAAAAGCCTGTGTCCCTAAAACTTAGCAACAATATATTCCTTTATAAATCACTTATAATTAAAAAAAAACTTAGGATGTAAGAGAATAATAAGGTTTTATGATGGCTATATAGCTACTAAATGTTATGGAAATTACTCAGAAATATGAAAAGACTTTCATTATATATTTATATAGTAGCTGAAAAAAGGTAACAAACCATGTGTTTTTTATTAAGATCCTCTAGCTGGAAACAACAGGAAAACAACTCAAGAGATCAGGGAGGAAGGAGGTCAACAACATTAGGAGGATAATGGGATGAGAGGAAGATAAGCAATAGGGCTTCGTATCAGAAATGGAAAGCTATTAAGACCTCTCCCATGCCCCCCTCTA